AAGAGGTGGGGTCTTACCATCAGCCCCACCAAAACTAAGCACCTGCCTGGGTATTTTATACCATCGGACACTCCACCCCCACAACTCCCAATCGGTGATGGGGCAGTTGTGGAGAGAGTGGAGAGTTTCCCATACCTGGGCAGTGTGCTTATGACTGGCTCCAGTTTAACAGCAGAGGTCTCACTCCGAATCAGTCGAGCGGCAATATCTTTTCATCGGTTGCGTAACGCTGTGTGGAAGCTACCTGGTCTGTCGCTCCGCACTAAGCTTCAGGTCTTTTCGGCCACGGTCATTCCCTCCCTTCTCTACGCTTGCGAAACGTGGACCCCCCTAATGGAACATCTTCGCCGGTTAGAAACATTTAGGCTGGCCTGCCTACGATCCATCCTGGGTTTAACCAGACTGGATTGTGTGAGGAGCTCACAAATCCTTGAAAGATCTGGGCAGGTTCCCATCGGTGAGCTCCTCCGGCAGGCAAGGCTGCGTTGGCTGGGTCATGTAGCCCGCATGCCCAGCCACCGCATGCTGAAACAGCTTTTGTTCGGCCGGATCGAGGGGGCTAAGCGGGCGCGGCACGGGCTAGAGAAGAGATGGAGTGATGTGGTACAGGAGGACGTGGAGCTGAGTGGACTTGCCGATGACTGGTACCAGCGGTGTCAAGATCGGCCTCTATGGAGGAGGCTCGTGAAGGATGCTACTGGGCAGTTGGAGGCAGTCGCCCTCCAACAACAACGGAGGGCGGAGGAGCGACGCTCACAACAACGAGCGGAGCGCCGGGTGGCTAAAGCACAGCGGGTTGGCACAGTAGGGGGCACAGGTGGTGCATCAGCCAGTCATCTCAGTCAGTCGACCCGTGGCACCTGCTGGGTCTGCCCCGTGACCTCCTGCCAGCGGGCGTTCGACACTTCACGTGGCCTCAGGGTGCACATGGCCTGGCACAAGCGTCGTGGTGACGTCACCGCCACTTAGTGGCGAATGGCGGTTGTTGTGTCTATAGGTGTGTCTATAGGTGTGTCTATAGGTGTGTGTGTCTATAGGTGTGTCTATAGGTGTGTGTGTGTGTCTACAGGTGTGTCTATAGGTGTGTCTATAGGTGTGTGTCTATAGGTGCGTGTGTCTATAGGTGTGTGTGTCTATAGGTGTATCTATAGGTGTGTGTGTCTACAGGTGTGTCTATAGGTGTGTGTGTGTGTCTATAGGTGTGTGTGTGTCTATAGGTGTGTGTGTGTGTGTCTACAGGTGTGTCTATAGGTGTGTCTATAGGTGTGTGTGTCTATAGGTGTGTGTGTGTTTATAGGTGTGTGTGTCTATAGGTGTGTGTGTCTATAGGTGTGTGTGTGTCTACAGGTGTGTCTATAGGTGTGTCTATAGGTGTGTGTGTCTATAGGTGTGTGTTTCTATAGGTGTGTGTGTCTATAGGTGTGTGTGTCTATAGGTGTGTCTATAGGTGTGTGTGTCTATAGGTGTGTCTACAGGTGTGTCTATAGGTGTGTGTATCTATAGGTGTGTGTGTCTACAGGTGTGTCTATAGGTGTGTGTGTGTGTCTATAGGTGTGTGTGTCTATAGGTGTGTGTGTCTATAGGTGTGTCTACAGGTGTGTGTGTGGATCGAGGGGGCTAAACGGGCGCGGCACGGGGCTAGAGAAGAGATGGAGTGATGTGGTGAGTGGGTGACACGGGCTAGAGAAGAGATGGAGTGATGTGGTGAGTGGGTGACACGGGCTAGAGAAGAGATGGAGTGGGTGGTTGAGTGGGTGACACGGTCTAGAGAAGAGATGGAGTGGGTGGTTGAGTGGGTGACACGGGCTAGAGACGAGATGGAGTGATGTGGTGAGTGGGTGACACGTGCTAGAGAAGAGATGGAGTGGGTGGTTGAGTGGGTGACACGGTCTAGAGAAGAGATGGAGTGGGTGGTTGAGTGGGTGACACGGGCTAGAGAAGAGATGGAGTGATGTGGTGAGTGGGTGACACGGGCTAGAGAAGAGATGGAGTGATGTGGTGAGTGGGTGACACGGGCTAGAGAAGAGATGGAGTGGGTGGTTGAGTGGGTGACACGGTCTAGAGAAGAGATGGAGTGGGTGGTTGAGTGGGTGACACGGGCTAGAGACGAGATGGAGTGATGTGGTGAGTGGGTGACACGTGCTAGAGAAGAGATGGAGTGGGTGGTTGAGTGGGTGACACGGTCTAGAGAAGAGATGGAGTGGGTGGTTGAGTGGGTGACACGGGCTAGAGAAGAGATGGAGTGATGTGGTGAGTAGGTGACACGTGCTAGAGAAGAGATGGAGTGATGTGGTGAGTGGGTGACACGGGCTAGAGAAGAGATGGAGTGGGTGGTTGAGTGGGTGACACGGGCTAGAGACGAGATGGAGTGATGTGGTGAGTGGGTGACACGGGCTAGAGAAGAGATGGAGTGATGTGGTGAGTGGGTGACACGTGCTAGAGAAGAGATGGAGTGATGTGGTGAGTGGGTGACACGGGCTAGAGAAGAGATGGAGTGGGTGGTTGAGTGGGTGACACGGGCTAGAGACGAGATGGAGTGATGTGGTGAGTGGGTGACACGGGCTAGAGAAGAGATGGAGTGATGTGGTGAGTAGGTGACACGTGCTAGAGAAGAGATGGAGTGATGTGGTGAGTGGGTGACACGGGCTAGAGAAGAGATGGAGTGGGTGGTTGAGTGGGTGACACGGGCTAGAGACGAGATGGAGTGATGTGGTGAGTGGGTGACACGGGCTAGAGAAGAGATGGAGTGATGTGGTGAGTAGGTGACACGTGCTAGAGAAGAGATGGAGTGATGTGGTGAGTGGGTGACACGGGCTAGAGAAGAGATGGAGTGATGTGGTGAGTGGGTGACACGGGCTAGAGAAGAGATGGAGTGATGTGGTGAGTGGGTGACACGGGCTAGAGAAGAGATGGAGTGGGTGGTTGAGTGGGTGACACGGGCTAGAGACGAGATGGAGTGATGTGGTGAGTGGGTGACACGGGCTAGAGAAGAGATGGAGTGATGTGGTGAGTAGGTGACACGTGCTAGAGAAGAGATGGAGTGATGTGGTGAGTGGGTGACACGGGCTAGAGAAGAGATGGAGTGATGTGGTGAGTGGGTGACACGGGCTAGAGAAGAGATGGAGTGATGTGGTGAGTGGGTGACACGGGCTAGAGACGAGATGGAGTGATGTGGTGAGTGGGTGACACGGGCTAGAGACGAGATGGAGTGATGTGGTGAGTGGGTGACACGGGCTAGAGAAGAGATGGAGTGATGTGGTGAGTAGGTGACACGTGCTAGAGAAGAGATGGAGTGATGTGGTGAGTGGGTGACACGGGCTAGAGAAGAGATGGAGTGATGTGGTGAGTGGGTGACACGGGCTAGAGACGAGATGGAGTGATGTGGTGAGTGGGTGACACGGGCTAGAGAAGAGATGGAGTGATGTGGTGAGTAGGTGACACGTGCTAGAGAAGAGATGGAGTGATGTGGTGAGTGGGTGACACGGGCTAGAGAAGAGATGGAGTGGGTGGTTGAGTGGGTGACACGGGCTAGAGACGAGATGGAGTGATGTGGTGAGTGGGTGACACGGGCTAGAGACGAGATGGAGTGATGTGGTGAGTGGGTGACACGGGCTAGAGACGAGATGGAGTGATGTGGTGAGTGGGTGACACGGGCTAGAGAAGAGATGGAGTGGGTGGTTGAGTGGGTGACACGGGCTAGAGACGAGATGGAGTGATGTGGTGAGTGGGTGACACGGGCTAGAGAAGAGATGGAGTGATGTGGTGAGTAGGTGACACGTGCTAGAGAAGAGATGGAGTGATGTGGTGAGTGGGTGACACGGGCTAGAGAAGAGATGGAGTGATGTGGTACAGGAGGACGTGGAGCTGAGTGGACTTGCCGATGAGCGGCACCAGCGGTGTCAAGATCGGCCGGGAAGGCGATCAAACGACCCTCCCACAGAGACGCAGGTTCGACATTTTGATGAGCATTTCTTGCACGGTCTGTCACGTGACCTCCTCCTCCTCGTGCACCTAGCCTGGCACAGCAGTGCAATCCATGGCACCTGCAGGGTCTGTCACGTGATCACCTGCACCTAGCCTGGCACAGCAGTACAACCGACAAGACACCTGGGTCTGTCACGTGACCTCCTCCTTCTCCTCGTGCAACTAGCCTGGCACAGCAGTACAACACATGGCACCTACAGGGTCTGTCACGTGATCACCTGCACCTAGCCTGGCACAGCAGTACAACCGACAAGACACCTGGGTCTGTCACGTGACCTCCTCCTTCTCCTCGTGCACCTAGCCTGGCACAGCAGTCAACCCATGGCACCTGCAGGGTCTGTGACGTGACCTCCTCGTGCACCTAGCCTGGCACAGCAGTACAACACATGGCACCTTCAGGGTCTGTCACGTGATCACCTGCACCTAGCCTGGCACAGCAGTACAACCAACAAGACCCCTGGGTCTGTCACGTGACCTCCTCCTTCTCGTGCACCTAGCCTGGCACAGCAGTACAACCCATGGCGCCTGCAGGGTCTGTCACGTGGCCTCCTCCTCGTGCACCTAGCCTGGCACAGCAGTACAACCGACAAGACACCTGGGTCTGTCACGTGACCTCCTCCTCCTCGTGCACCTAGCCTGGCACAGCAGTACAACCCATGGCGCCTGCTGGGTCTGTCACGTGACCTCCTCCTCATGCACCTAGCCTGGCACAGCAGTACAACCCATGGCGCCTGCTGGGTCTGTCACGTGACCTCCTCCTCGTGCACCTAGCCTGGCACAGCAGTACAACCGACAAGACCCCTGGGTCTGCCACGTGACCTCCTCCTCCTCGTGCACCTAGCCTGGCACAGCAGTACAGCCCATGGCACCTGCTGGGTCTGTCACGTGACCTCCTCCTCGTGCACCTAGCCTGGCACAGCACTCAACCGACAAGACACCTGGGTCTGTCACGTGACCACAATCCCCCTCATTGTGCACCTAGCCTGGCACAGCGGGTGCTGCACTTGCCCCTGCAGCCCACGTGCGCTACCTGGGCGGCCTTTGGGGATAACCGATTCTCTAAATCGATTCGGATAGAGTTGAACCTACGGGCCGACGGGAATCGATTTCAAACATTTCACGAAGATGTATCGGTCACGTGTAGAATAACGATCTCGAATTAATCGGAACTCCACGCCCGCGTGGCGTCAACCTGTGTCTGGATTAAAAAAAACATATCGATCTGTAATTATCGAGAGATGATTGGGTTAATAACGATTGGAATCGATATCGTTGGATCGCTTTAGGAGCGCTCTAACCGATTGTTCGAATCGATTCCCATGCAATTGCCCCATGGGTCCCGTTACAATTTGGGGAGTCGGATTGTACCAACTCGCTCGCCTGGCGGAGGGGGGTTCGAAGTTCTGATGGAACCTTGATAATTCCATGTATGTCATTGTATCGATCGATTCACTGGAGGATGATGATCAATGTGATGATGATATCGGGAATATCATCGCAGTGATCTTCATCCAACAGTGGATAGACCACGGCAGTTATATCATTGCCTAACATTGCCCGATTACATTGCCTCATATGCAATGTTATACATTATACACTACACTACTACTATACACAATGCACTAGCACTATACACTACTATACATTACTACATTACTACTATACACTAACTACTATACATTATACACTACACTACTTCTATACACAATGCACTACCACTATACACTACTATACATTACTACATTACTTCTATACACAAATTACTATACATTATACACTACACTACAACTATACACAATGCACTACTACTATACACTACTATACATGACTACATTACTACTATACACTAACTACTATACATTATACACTACTACAATACACAATGCACTACTACTATGCACTACTATACATTATACACTACCACTATACACTACTACAATACACTACTACTATACATTATACACTACATTACTACTATACATTATACACTACCACTACACACTACTACAATACACTACTACTATACATTATACACTACACTACTACTATACATTATACACTACCACTATACACTACTACAATACACTACACTACTACATTACTACTATACACTATTTAAATCGAATTTTACTATACACTAATACTATACACTACCACTATACACTACTACAATACACTAATTACTATACATTATACACTACTACTATACACTACTAATATACACTACTACAATACATTATACACTACACTACTACTATACATTATACACTACTACTATACACTACTACAATACACTAATTACTATACATTATACACTACTACTATACACTACTACTATACACTACTACAATACATTATACACTACACTACTACTATACATTATACACTACTACTATACACTACTACAATATACTAATTACTCTACATTATACACTACACTACCGCTATATACTGATCGGACTCCCTCCCACCCCCCGGGTTCGCGTCCACTTGGACTCGTCCACTCCAACACAGAAGGGGGGTCGAGAAGAGATGGAGGCTGCCTGAGGCGTTCGCTGAGGGGACTAAAATCCTCACCAACATTTTTTGTTTAAATATTCAAGCTCCGTCTCAGCCCCCCAAAGCCATGTCCACGAAATTATCTTTTTTTTTAAACAATATATTTTTTTAAAATAAATTTGTTTAAAAAAAAATCGGTGGTCCGTCAACGAGACGCGCCCGGTCTTGGTGGGCTCTACCGACCGAGGCGAGGGTCGGACGGTAGGGCCGTCCAGGCAAGAACGGGGGGCAGCGCGGCCCGCGACCAGGAGCAGGTAGGCCCCCCTTACGTGCGAAATATCCCATAAAATAATATATATTTTTTTAATATTCAAGCTAACCTACACAAACCACCCCGCTCCGTCTCAGCCCTCAATCCATGTCCAGAAAATTAACTCTATTTTTTTAATAGTTATTTAAAATAAAATGTACAACATTTTTTATTCTTACAAAAAATCGGTAGTCCGTCAACGAGACGCCCCCGGTCTCGGTGGGCTCTACCGACCGAGGCGAGGGTCGGACGGTAGGGCCGTCCAGGCAAGAACGGGGGGAGGGAGCGCGGCCCGCGACCAGGAGCAGGTAGGCCCCCCTTACGTGTGAAATATCCCATTAAATAATTTTTTTTAAAATATTCAAGCTAACCTACACAGACCACCCCGCTCCGTCTCAGCCCTCAATCCATGTCCAGAAAATAATCTCTATTTTTTTGTAAATAGTTATTTAAAATAAAATGTACAACATTTTTTTTCTTACAAAAAAAATCGGTAGTCCGTCAACGAGACGCCCCCGGTCTTGGTGGGCTCTACCGACCGAGGCGAGGGTCGGACGGTAGGGCCGTCCAGGCAAGAACGGGGGGGTGGGGAGCGCGGCCCCCAACCAGGAGGCCGTAGGCCCCCGTTTTTACGCGTGAAATATCCCATTAAATGTAATTATTCTTATCGTTAATATTGTTGTTTTTCGTTAAAACATTTAGCCGCATGGGTGTGTCGCGTCGTGTACGCGCGATTGCCACGACTGCCATTTGCAAGGATCAATCGATTAAGGTTCGTGCCTCTCGTTAGTACAATTTATATTCCAAAATTTTACAATTTGAAAGGGGACGCCCATCCAGCATTGGATACTGGCGACCCTGTGTGCCACCTCCCCTAGGTCGACTCGGCCTCAAATGAGTACCTGGTGTAGCGGTGGTGGTGTTGTAGCGGTGGTGGTGGTGTAGCGGTGGTGGTGTTGTAGTTGTGGTGGTGTAGCGGTGGTGGTGTAGCGGTGGTGGTGTAGCGGTGGTGGTGGTGTAGCGCTGGTGGTGGTGTTGTAGTTGTGGTGGTGTTGGTGAGTGAACATCGCTAGCACTGGGGGAGAGACAAAGGCGGCCGGGCGTGGTGGTGGTGGTGGCCACCCACCCCCTCTGTGTGTGCCACAGTGCCCCGGTAGCCTTCATAGACGCTGCTGCTGCTATTCGCTAACAGCACTTGCCCCTACAGCCCTGCTAGAGGCTACCTGGGGGAGCTTTGTCTGTGTCTGTGTGTAACAGCACTTGCCCCTACAGCCTGTTAGAGGCTACCTGGGGGAGCTTTGTCTGTGTGTAACAGCACTTGCCCCTACAGCCTGCTAGAGGCTACCTGGTGGAGCTTTGTCTGTGTGTGTAACAGCACTTGCCCCTATAGCCCTGCTAGAGGCTACCTGGGGGAGCTTTGTCTGTGTGTGTAACAGCACTTGCCCCTACAGCCTGCTAGAGGCTACCTGGGGGAGCTTTGTCTGTGTGTGACAGCACTTGCCCCTACAGCCCTGCTAGAGGCTACCTGGGGGAGCTTTGTATGTGTGTGTAACAGCACTTGCCCCTACAGCCATGCTAGAGGCTACCTGGGGGAGCTTTGTCTGTGTGTGTAATAGCACTTGCCCCTACAGCCCTGCTAGAGGCTACCTGGGGGAGCTTTGTTTGTGTGTGTGTAACAGCACTTGCCCCTACAGCCTGCTAGAGGCTACCTGGGGGAGCTTTGTCTGTGTGTAATAGCACTTGCCCCTACAGCCTGCTAGAGGCTACCTGGGGGAGCTTTGTCTGTGTGTGTGTAACAGCACTTGCCCCTACAGCCTGCTAGAGGCTACCTGGGGGAGCTTTGTCTGTGTGTGTAACAGCACTTGCCCCTACAGCCTGCTAGAGGCTACCTGGGGGAGCTTTGTTGTTGCCTATATCCGACTTGCTGTGCCTGTGTCTGGCTGATATTCTGAAAGTCGTCGTTTCTGGCTGTGTGTTGCCAGCTGACTGTGTCTCGGACTGTCTGTCTGCCTGTCTCTCTCTGTCTGTCTGTCTCTTGTCTGTCTCTCTCTGTCTGTCTCTGTCTGCGTGTCTCTGTCTGTTTGTCTCTCTCTGTCTGTCTCTGTCTGCCTGTCTCTCTCTCTGTCTCTGTCTGCCTGTCTCTGCCTGTCTCTCTCTGTCTCTGTCTGTCTCTCTCTGTCTGTCTCTGTCTGTCTCTCTCTGTCTGTCTCTGTCTGCCTGTCTCTCTCTGTCTGTCTCTGTCTGCCTGTCTCTCTCTGTCTGTGTCTCTCTGTCTGTCTCTGTCTGTCTGTCTCTCTCTGTCTGTCTCTGTCTGCCTGTCTCTCTCTGTCTGTCTCTGTCTGCCTGTCTCTCTCTGTCTGTCTGTCTCTGCCTGTCTGTCCCTCTCTGTCTGTCTCTCTCTGTCTGTCTCTGTCTGTCTCTGTCTGTCTGTCTCTCTCTGTCTGTCTCTGTCTGCCTCTCTCTGTCTGTCTGTCTCTCTCTGTCTGATCATCTCTGCCTGTCTCTCTCTGTCTGTCTCTGTCTGTCTCTCTCTGCCTGATTGTCTCTGTCTGTCCCTGTCTGCCTGTCTCTATCTGTCTGCCTGTCTCTCTCTCTCTTTCTGTCTGCCTGTCTCTCTCTGTCTGATTGTCTCTGTCTGCCTGTCTCTCTCTGTCTCTCTCTGCCTGTCTCTCTCTCTGTCTGACCGTCTCTGTCTGCCTGTCTCTCTCTGTCTGATTGTCTCTGCCTGTCTTTCTCTCTCTGTCTGATTGTCTCTGTCTGCCTGTCTCTGTCTGCCTGTCTCTCTCTGTCTGTCTGTCTCTGCCTGTCTGTCCCTCTCTGTCTGTCTCTCTCTGTCTGTCTCTGTCTGTCTCTGTCTGTCTGTCTCTCTCTGTCTGTCTCTGTCTGCCTCTCTCTGTCTGTCTGTCTCTCTCTGTCTGATCATCTCTGCCTGTCTCTCTCTGTCTGTCTCTGTCTGTCTCTCTCTGCCTGATTGTCTCTGTCTGTCCCTGTCTGCCTGTCTCTATCTGTCTGCCTGTCTCTCTCTCTCTTTCTGTCTGCCTGTCTCTCTCTGTCTGATTGTCTCTGTCTGCCTGTCTCTCTCTGTCTCTCTCTGCCTGTCTCTCTCTCTGTCTGACCGTCTCTGTCTGCCTGTCTCTCTCTGTCTGATTGTCTCTGCCTGTCTTTCTCTCTCTGTCTGATTGTCTTTGTCTGCCTGTCTCTGTCTGCCTGTCTCTCTCTGTCTGATTGTCTCTGTCTGATTGTCTCTGTCTGCCTGTCTCTGATTGTCTCTGCCTGTCTCTGTCTGCCTGTCTCTCTCTGTCTGATTGTCTCTGCCTGTCTCTGTCTGCCTGTCTCTGTCTGCCTGTCTCTCTCTGCCTGTCTGTCTTTGTCTGATTGTCTCTGCCTGTCTCTCTCTCTCTCTGTCTGATTGTCTCTGTCTGCCTGTCTCTCTCTCTCTCTGTCTGATTGTCTCTGTCTGCCTGTCTCTCTCTCTGTCTCTGTCTGACCGTCTCTGTCTGCCTGTCTCTCTCTCTGTCTGCCTGTCTCTCTCTGTCTGATTGTCTCTGCCTGTCTCTGTCTGTCTGATTGTCTCTGCCTGTCTCTCTCTCTCTCTGTGTCTCTGTCTGACTGTCTCTGTCTGCCTGTGTGCACGTGTTCTGCGGGTGTAGCCTTCACTGTTGGTTTTCCGCCTGTAGCATACAGCCCTGTAGGCTGTAGCTCTGCTGTAGTAGCCCCCCCCCACACAGCCCCCCAGAGCCCCCTACAGCCCACTACAGCCCCCCAGAGCCCCCCCCAAAGCTCCCTACAGCCCACTACAGCCCCCTCCAAAGCTCGCTACAGCCCCCTACAGCCCCCCTACAGCCCCCCAGAGCCCCCCCCAGAGCCCCCTACAGCCCCCCCTACAGCCCCCTACAGCCCCCCCCAAAAGATCCCTACAGCCCCCCCAGAGCCCCCTACAGCACCCCAGTGCCCCCTACAGCCCCCCCCAGAGCCCCCCTCTAAGCTCCCTACAGCCCCCTACAGCCCCCTACAGCCCCCCCAAACAGCTCCCTACAGCCCCCCTACAGCCCCCCAGAGCCCCCCAGAGCCCCCCTCCCAGAGCCCCCTACAGCCCCCTACAGCCCCGCCCAAAGCTCCCTACAGGCCCCCCAGAGCCCCCTACAGCCCCCCAGAGCCCCCCAGAGCCCCCTACAGCCCCCCAGAGCCCCCCAGCAGGATGCCGCTGATCAAGCGAGGGATGGAGCCGCGGTTCCTGTGCAGGAGGCCGCTGCCAGAGGAGATCAACAACGAGCTGGAGTGTGTCACTAATATCACACTAGCTGGTATCATACGTCAACTCAGCAGCCTTAGTGAGTCACTCACTCAGTCACTCACTCAGTCACTCACTCACCCAGTCACTCAGTCACTCATTCACTTACTCACTCACTCAGTCACTCACTCACTCAGTCACTCACCCAGTCACTCACCCACAACGAGCTGGAGTGTGTCACCAACGTGACACTAGCTGGTATCATACGTCAACTCAGCAGCCTTAGTGAGTCACTCACTCAGTCACTCACTCAGTCACCCAGTCACTCACCCAGTCACTCACTCACCCAGTCACTTACTCACCCAGTCAGTCACTCACCCAGTCACTCACCCAGTCACTCACTCACCCAGTCACTCACCCAGTCACTCACTCAGTCACTCACCCACGAGCTGGAGTGTGTCACCAACGTGACACTAGCTGGTATCATACGTCAACTCAGCAGCCTTAGTGAGTCACTCACTCAGTTACTCACCCAGTCACTCACCCAGTCACTCACTCACCCAGTCACTCACTCACCCAGTCACTCACTCACCCAGTCACCCAGTCACTCACCCAGTCACTCACCCAGTCACTCACCCACAACGAGCTGGAGTGTGTCACTAACGTGACACTAGCTGGTATCATACGTCAACTCAGCAGCCTTAGTGAGTCACTCACTCAGTTACTCACTCAGTCACTCACTCACTCACTCAGTCACTCACTCAGTCACTCACCCAGTCACTCACCCACAACGAGCTGGAGTGTGTCACCAACGTGACCCTAGCTGGTATCATACGTCAACTCAGCAGCCTTAGTGAGTCACTCAGTTACTCACTCAGTCACTCACTCACTCACCCAGTCACTCACCCAGTTACTCACCCAGTCACTCACCCACAACGAGCTGGAGTGTGTCACCAACGTGACACTAGCTGGTATCATACGTCAACTCAGCAGCCTTAGTGAGTCACTCAGTTACTCAGTTACCCTGTCACTCACTCAGTCACTCAGTCAGTCACTCACCCAGTCACTCACTCACTCAGTCACTCAGTCACTCACTCACCCAGTCACTCACCCACAACGAGCTGGAGTGTGTCACCAACGTGACACTAGCTGGTATCATACGTCAACTCAGCAGCCTTAGTGAGTCACTCACTCAGTCACTCACTCAGTCACCCAGTCACTCACCCAGTCACTCACTCACTCAGTCACTCACCCACAACGAGCTGGAGTGTGTCACCAACGTGACACTAGCTGGTATCATACGTCAACTCAGCAGCCTTAGTGAGTTACCTAGTCACTCAGTTACCCTGTCACTCACTCAGTCACTCACCCAGTCACTCACTCAGTCACTCACCCAGTCACTCACCCACAACGAGCTGGAGTGTGTCACCAACGTGACACTAGCTGGTATCATACGTCAACTCAGCAGCCTTAGTGAGTTACCTAGTCACTCAGTTACTCACTCAGTCAGTCACTCACCCAGTCACTCACCCAGTCACTCACCCAGTCACTCACTCATACACTCACTCACCCACAACGAGCTGGAGTGTGTCACCAACGTGACACTAGCTGGTATCATACGTCAACTCAGCAGCCTTAGTGAGTTACCCTGTCAGTTACTCACTCAGTCACTCAGTCACTCACTCAGTCACCCAGTCACTCACCCAGTCACTCACTCACTCAGTCACTCACCCAGTTACTCACTCAGTCAGTCACTCAGTCACTCACTCAGTCACTCACTCACCCAGTCACTCACCCACAACGAGCTGGAGTGTGTCACCAACGTGACACTAGCTGGTATCATACGTCAACTCAGCAGCCTTAGTGAGTCACTCACTCAGTTACTCACTCAGTCACTCAGTCAGTTACTCACTCACCCAGTCACTCACTCACTCAGTCAGTCACTCAGTCACTCACCCAGTCACTCACCCACAACGAGCTGGAGTGTGTCACCAACGTGACACTAGCTGGTATCATACGTCAACTCAGCAGCCTTAGTGAGTTACCTAGTCACTCAGTTACCCTGTCACCCAGTCACTCACTCAGTCACTCACTCACCCAGTCACTCACTCACTCAGTCACTCACTCACCCAGTCACTCACCCAGTCACTCACTCACCCAGTCACTCACCCAGTCACTCACTCAGTCACTCACCCACAACGAGCTGGAGTGTGTCACCAACGTGACACTAGCTGGTATCATACGTCAACTCAGCAGCCTTAGTGAGTTACCTAGTCACTCAGTTACCCTGTCACCCAGTCACTCACTCAGTCACTCACTCACCCAGTCACTCACTCACTCAGTCACTCACTCACCCAGTCACTCACCCAGTCACTCACTCACCCAGTCACTCACCCAGTCACTCACTCAGTCACTCACCCACAACGAGCTGGAGTGTGTCACCAACGTGACACTAGCTGGTATCATACGTCAACTCAGCAGCCTTAGTGAGTTACCTAGTCACTCAGTTACCCTGTCACCCAGTCACTCACTCAGTCACTCACTCACCCAGTCACTCACTCACTCAGTCACTCACTCACCCAGTCACTCACCCAGTCACTCACTCACCCAGTCACTCACCCAGTCACTCACTCAGTCACTCACCCACAACGAGCTGGAGTGTGTCACCAACGTGACACTAGCTGGTATCATACGTCAACTCAGCAGCCTTAGTGAGTCACTCACTCACTCAGTCAGTCACTCACCCAGTCACTCACTCAGTCACCCAGTCACTCACCCAGTCACTCACCCAGTCACTCACTCACTCACCCAGTCACTCACTCAGTCACTCACCCAGTCACTCACCCACAACGAGCTGGAGTGTGTCACCAACGTCACCCTAGCTGGTATCATACGTCAACTCAGCAGCCTTAGTGAGTCACTCACTCAGTCAGTCACTCACTCACCCAGTCACTCACCCAGTCACTCACTCACTCACTCAGTCACTCAGTCACTCATTCAGTTACTCACTCACTCAGTCACTCAGTCACTCACCCAGTCACTCACCCACAACGAGCTGGAGTGTGTCACCAACGTGACACTAGCTGGTATCATACGTCAACTCAGCAGCCTTAGTGAGTCACTCACTCAGTTACCCTGTCACTCACTCTGTCACTCAGTTACTCACTCAGTCACTCACCCAGTCACTCACCCACAACGAGCTGGAGTGTGTCACTAACATGACACTAGCTGGTATCATACGTCAACTCAGCAGCCTTAGTGAGTTACCTAGTCACTCAATCACTCAGTCACTCATTCAGTTACTCACTCACCCAGTCACTCACTCACCCAGTCACTCACTCACTCACCCAGTCACTCACCCAGCCACTCACTCACTCACCCACAACGAGCTGGAGTGTGTCACCAACGTGACACTAGCTGGTATCATACGTCAACTCAGCAGCCTTAGTGAGTTACCTAGTCACTTAGTTACTCACCCAGTCACTCACTCAGTCACTCACTCACCCACTCAGTCACTCACTCACTCACCCAGTCACTCACTCAGTCACTCACTCACCCAGTCACTCACCCAGTCACTCACTCAGTCACTCACTCAGTTACTCAGTCACTCACCCACAACGAGCTGGAGTGTGTCACCAACGTGACACTAGCTGGTATCATACGTCAACTCAGCAGCCTTAGTGAGTTACCTAGTCACTCAGTTACTCACCCAGTCACTCACTCAGTCAGTCACTCAGTCACTCACCCACAACGAGCTGGAGTGTGTCACCAACGTGACACTAGCTGGTATCATACGTCAACTCAGCAGCCTTAGTGAGTCACCTAGTCACTCAGTTACTCACTCAGTCACTCAGTCAGTTACTCACTCACCCAGTCACTCACCCAGTCACTCACTCACTCAGTCACTCACCCAGTTACTCACTCAGTCAGTCACTCAGTCACTCACCCAGTCACTCACCCACAACGAGCTGGAGTGTGTCACCAACGTGACACTAGCTGGTATCATACGTCAACTCAGCAGCCTTAGTGAGTCACCTAGTCACTCAGTTACTCACTCAGTCACTCAGTCAGTTACTCACTCACCCAGTCACTCACCCAGTAACTCACTCACTCAGTCACTCACCCAGTTACTCACTCAGTCAGTCACTCAGTCACTCACCCAGTCACTCACCCACAACGAGCTGGAGTGTGTCACCAACGTGACACTAGCTGGTATCATACGTCAACTCAGCAGCCTTAGTGAGTCACCTAGTCACTCAGTTACTCACTCAGTCACTCAGTCAGTTACTCACTCACCCAGTCACTCACCCAGTCACTCACTCACTCAGTCACTCACCCAGTTACTCACTCAGTCAGTCACTCAGTCACTCACCCAGTCACTCACCCACAACGAGCTGGAGTGTGTCACCAACGTGACACTAGCTGGTATCATACGTCAACTCAGCAGCCTTAGTGAGTCACCTAGTCACTCAGTTACTCACTCAGTCACTCAGTCAGTTACTCACTCACCCAGTCACTCACCCAGTCACTCAGTCACTCACCCAGTTACTCACTCAGTCAGTCACTCAGTCACTCACCCAGTCACTCACCCACAACGAGCTGGAGTGTGTCACCAACGTGACACTAGCTGGTATCATACGTCAACTCAGCAGCCTTAGTGAGTCACCTAGTCACTCAGTTACTCACTCAGTCACTCAGTCAGTTACTCACTCACCCAGTCACTCACCCAGTCACTCACTCACTCACTCAGTCACTCACCCAGTTACTCACTCAGTCAGTCACTCAGTCACTCACCCAGTCACTCACCCACAACGAGCTGGAGTGTGTCACCAACGTGACACTAGCTGGTATCATACGTCAACTCAGCAGCCTTAGTGAGTCACTCAGTTACTCAGTTACCCTGTCACTCACTCAGTCACTCACTCACCCAGTCACTCACCCACAACGAGCTGGAGTGTGTCACCAACGTGACCCTAGCTGGTATCATACGTCAACTCAGCAGCCTTAGTGAGTCACTCACTCAGTTACTCACTCAGTCACTCACCCACAACGAGCTGGAGTGTGTCACTAATATCACACTAGCTGGTATCATACGTCAACTCAGCAGCCTTAGTGAGTCACTCACCCAGTTACTCACCCAGTCACTCACTCACCCAGTCACTCACTCAGTCACTGAGTTACTCACTCAGTCACCCAGTCACTCACTCAGTCACTGAGTTACTCACTCAGTCACCCAGTCACTCAGTTACTCACTCAGTCAGTTACCCTGTCACTCACTCACTCACTCAGTTACTCACTCAGTCACTCACCCAGTCACTCAGTCAGTCACTCACTCAGTCACTCACCCAGTCACTCACCCACAACGAGCTGGAGTGTGTCACCAACGTGACACTAGCTGGTATCATACGTCAACTCAGCAGCCTTAGTGAGTTACCTAGTCACTCAGTTACTCACTCAGTCACTCACCCAGTCACTCACTCACTCACCCAGTCACTCACCCAATCGCTCACTCACCCAGTCACTCACTCACTCACCCAGTCACTCACCCACTCACCCCGTCATTCACCCAGTCACTCACCCAGTCACTCACTCACCCAGTCACTCACCCAATCGCTCACTCACCCAGTCACTCACTCACCCAGTCACTAACCCAGCCAGTGACTACTAGTGGGTGACTAGTAGTGGGTGACTACTAGTGGGTGACTACTAGTGGTGGGTGACTAGTGGTGGGTGACTAGTGGTGGGTGACTACTAGTGGGTGACTAGTAGTGGGTGACTAGTGGTGGGTGACTAGTGGTGGGTGACTAGTGGTGGGTGACTAGTGGTGGGTGACTCGTGGTGGGTGACTAGTGGTGGGTGACTAGTAGTGGGTGACTAGTGGTGGGTGACTAGTGGTGGGTGACTAGTGGTGGGTGACTAGTGGTGGGTGACTACTAGTGGGTGACTAGTAGTGGGTGACTAGTGGTTGGTGACTAGTGGTGGGTGACTAGTGGTGGGTGACTAGTGGTGGGTGACTCGTGGTGGGTGACTAGTGGGGGTGACTAGTAGTGGGTGACTAGTGGTGGGTGACTAGTGGTGGGTGACTAGTGGTGGGTGACTAGTGGGGGTGACTAGTAGTGGGTGACTAGTGGTGGGTGACTAGTGGTGGGTGACTCGTGGTGGGTGACTAGTGGTGGGTGACTCTTGGTGGGTGACTACTAGTGGTGGGTGACTACCGGTGGGTGACTAGTGGTGGGTGACTAGTAGTGGGTGACTAGTGGTGGGTGACTAGTGGTGGGTGACTACTAGTGGGTGACTAGTGGTGGGTGACTAGTGGTGGGTGACTAGTGGTGGGTGACTAGTGGTGGGTGACTAGTAGTGGGTGACTAGTGGTGGGTGACTAGTGGTGGGTGACTACTAGTGGTGGGTGACTAGTGGTGGGTGACTCGTGGTGGGTGACTAGTGGTGGGTGACTAGTGGTGGGTGACTAGTGGTGGGTGACTAGTGGGTGACTAGTGGTGGGTGACTAGTGGTGGGTGACTACTAGTGGGTGACTAGTGGTGGGTGACTAGTGGTGGGTGACTAGTGGTGGGTGACTAGTGGTGGGTGACTAGTGGTGGGTGACTACTGGTGGGTGACTACTAGTGGGTGACTAGTGGTGGGTGACTAGTGGTGGGTGACTAGTGGTGGGTGACTAGTGGTGGTTGACTAGTGGTGGGTGACTAGTGGTGGGTGACTAGTGGTGGGTGACTAGTGGGTGACTAGTGGTGGGTGACTAGTGGTGGGTGACTACTAGTGGGTGACTAGTGGTGGGTGACTAGTGGTGGGTGACTCTTGGTGGGTGACTAGTGGTGGGTGACTCTTGGTGGGTGACTAGTGGTGGGTGACTCTTGGTGGGTGACTCGTGGTGGGTGACTATTAGTGGGTGACTAGTGGTGGGTGACTAGTGGTGGGTGACTCTTGGTGGGTGACTAGTGGTGGTTGACTACCCCAGGCAAACATGCTGAGGACGTCTTTGGGGAGCTGTTTCAAGAGGCGTCGCTGGTGCACTGCCGGGCAGCGTCACTGCAGGAAAGGGTGGACAGACTCGCCCTGAAAGTCACCCAGCTGGACTCCACCGTGGAGGAGGGTGAGTGAGATCACCCGGTCACTCACCCGGTCACTCACCCACTCACTCAGCCAGTCAATCAGCCGCTCACTCAGTCACTCAGCCAGTCACTCAGCCACTCACTCAGTCACTCACCCAGTCACTCACCCACTCACTCAGCCACTCACTCACCCACTCACTCAGTCACTCAGCCGCTCACTCAGCCACTCACCCACTAACCCAGCCACTCAGCCACTCACCCACTCACCCACTCACTCAGTCACTCAGCCGCTCACTCAGCCACTCACTCAGTCACTCACTCAGCCACTCACTCAGTCACTCACCCACTCACCCACCTACCCACCCACCCACTCACCCACTCACTCAGCCACTCACTCACTCACTCAGTCACTCACCCACTCACTCACCCACTCACTCAGCCACTCACTCAGCCACTCACTCACTCACCCACTCACTCACTCAGTCACTCACCCACTCACTCACCCACCCACCCACTCACTCAGCCACCCACTCACCCACTCACTCAGCCACTCACTCACTCAGTCACTCACTCACTCAGTCACTCACCCACTCACTCAGCCACTCACTCACCCAGTCACTCACCCAGTCACCCACCCACTCACTCACCCACTCACTCACCCACCCAGTCACCCAGTCACTCAGCCACTCACTCAGCCACTCACTCACCCAGTCACCCACCCACTGACTCACCCACCCACTCACCCAGCCACTCAGCCACTCACTCAGTCACTCAGCCACCCACTCACTCACCCACTCAGCCACTCACCCAGTCACCCACCCACTCACCCAGTCACTCACTCACTCACCAACTCACGCACCTACCCACCCACTCACCCACTCACTCAGCCACTCACTCAGTCAGTCACTAACCCAATCACTCACCCAGTCACCCACCCAGTCACTCACCCACTCATCCAGTCACTCACCCACTCACTCAGCCACCCAGCCACTCACTCGCTCACTCAGTCACTCACCCAGTCACTCATCTAGTCACCCACCCAGTCACTCACCCACTCACTCACCCACTCACTCACACACTCACCCACCCACTCACTCACCCAGTCACTCACCCACTCACTCACTCACTCACCCACTCACTCACCCACTCACACACTCACCCACCCACTCACTCACACCCTCACTCACCCACTCACCCACTCACTCACTCATCCCCCCACTCACCCCCCCACTCACCCCCCCCCCCCCCCCCCCCACTCAGCCACTCACTCAGCCACTCACCCAGTCACTCACCCAGTCACTCACCCACCCACTCACTCAGCCACTCACTCAGCCACTCACCCAGTCACTCACCCACTCACTCAGCCACTCACCCAGTCACCCACCCACTCACCCAGTCACTCACTCACTCACCAACTCACCCACCTACCCACCCACCCACTCACCCTCTCACTCAGTCAGTCACTCACCCACTCACTCAGCCATCCAGCCACTCACTCGCTCACTCAGTCACTCACTCACCCACCCACTCAGTCACTCACTCACTCACTCACCCACTCACTCACTCACTCACCCACTCACCCACTCACCCACTCACCCACCCACTCACTCACCCACCCACTCACCCACCCACTCACTCACCCACTCACCCCTCACCCACTCACTTCACCTCCCCACTCACCACCCCCCCCCAGTCTCCCTGCAGGACATTAACATGCGGAAGGCCTTCCGCTCCTCGACCAATCAGGACCAGCAGGTGGTGTCACGTGACACCATCCCCAACCCGCTATTGGATACCTACAACATCTGCCACAAGCCGCCTCCACTCAACATCCTCACGCCCTATCGGTGAGGATGCTCAACACTCACCCTGTCACTCACCCACTCACTCACCTACTCACTCACTCACTCACCCACTCACTCACCACTCACTCACCTACTCACTCACCTACTCACTCACCCTGTCACTCACCCACTCACTCACCTACTCACTCACCCACTCACTCACCCACTCACTCACCTACTCACCACTCACTCACTCACCCACTCAGTCACTCACCACTCACTCACCCACCCACTCACCTACTCACTCACTCACTCACCCACTCACTCACCCACTCACTCACTCAGTCACTCACTCACTCATACACTCACTCACTCACCCACTCACTCACCTACTCACTCACTCACTCATACACTCACTCACTCATACACTCACCCACTCACCCACTCACTCACTCACTCACCCACTCACTCACCCACTCACTCACTCACTCACCTACTCACTCACTCACTCACCCACTCACTCACCCTGTCACCCACCCACTCACCCACTCACTCACCTACTCACCACTCACTCACCTACTCACTCACCCACTCACTCACTCAGTCACTCACTCACTCATACACTCACTCACTCACCCACTCACACACCCACTCACTCACTCATACACTCACCCACTCACTCACTCACTCACCTACTCACTCACTCACTCACTTACCCACTCACTCACTCACCCACCCACTCACTCACCCACTCAGTCACTCACTCACCTACTCACTCACCCACTCACCCACTCACCCACTCACTCACCCACTCACCCACTCACTCACTCACTCAGTCACTCACCCACCCACTCACCCACCCACCCACTCACTCACTCACCCACTCACCCACTCACTCACTCACTCACCCACTCAGTCACTCACTCACCCACCCACTCACTCACCCACTCACCCACTCACTCACCTACTCACTCACTCACTCACCCACTCACTCACTTACCCACTCACTCACTCACCCACCCACTCACTCACCCACTCAGTCACTCACTCACCTACTCACTCACCCACTCACCCACTCACCCACTCACTCACCCACTCACCCACTCACTCACTCACTCAGTCACTCACCCACCCACTCACCCACCCACCCACTCACTCACTCACCCACTCACCCACTCACTCACCCACTCACTCACCCACTCACTCACTCACCCACTCAGTCACTCACTCACTCACTCACACTCACTCACTCACCCACTCACACACCCACTCACTCACTCATACACTCACCCACTCACCCACTCAGTCACTCACTCACCTACTCACTCACTCACTCACCCACTCACTCACCCACTCACTCACTCACTCACCCACTCACTCAGTCACTCACTCACTCACTCATACACTCACTCACTCACTCACGCACTCACACACCCACTCACTCACTCATACACTCACCCACTCACCCACTCAGTCACTCACTCACCTACTCACTCACTCACTCACCCACTCACTCACCCACTCACTCACTCACCCACTCACTCACTCACTCACCCACTCACCCACTCACTCACTCACCCACTCACTCACTCACCCACTCACTCACTCACTCACCCACACACTCACTCACTCACCCACTCACCCACTCACTCACCCACTCACTCACCCACTCAGTCACTCACTCACTCACCCACCCACTCACTCACTCACTCACCCACTCACCCACTCACTCACCCACTCACTCACCCACTCAGTCACTCACTCACTCACTCACCCAATCACTCACTCACTCACCCACCCACTCACCCACCTACCCACTCACTCACTCACCCACTCACCCACTCACTCACCCACTCAGTCACTCACTCACTCACCCACTCACTCACCCACTCACTCACTCACCCACTCACTCACCTACTCACCTACTCACTCACTCACCCACTCACCCACTCACTCACCCACTCACTCACTCACCCACTCACTCACTCACTCACCCACTCACTCACCCACTCACTCACCCACTCAGTCACTCACTCACTCACTCACCCAATCACTCACTCACTCACCCACCCACTCACCCACCTACCCACTCACTCACTCACCCACTCACCCACTCACCCACTCACTCACCCACTCAGTCACTCACTCACTCACTCACCCACTCACTCACCCACTCACCCACTCACTCACCCACTCACTCACTCACACACTCACTCACTCACCCACTCACTCACCCTGTCACTCACCCACTCACCACTCACTCACTCACCCACACACCCACTCACTCACCCACTCACTCACCGAATCACTCACCCACTCACTCACCCACTCACTCACCCACCCACTCACTCACCCACTCACTCACTCACTCACCCACCCACTCACTCACTCACTCACCCACTCACTCACTCACCCATTCACTCACTCACCCACCCACTCACTCACTCACTCACCCACTCACTCACTCACCCACTCACTCACTCACCCACTCACCCACTCACTCACCCACTCACTCACCTACTCACTCACCCACTCACTCACCCACTCACTCACCCACCACTCACTCACTCACTCACCCATTCACTCACTCACCCACTCACTCATCCACTCACTCACTCACTCACCCACTCACTCACTCACCCACCCACCCACCCACTCACTCACCACTCACTCACTCACTCACCCACTCACTCACTCACCCACTCACTCACTCACCCACTCACCCACCCACTCACTCACTCACCCACTCACTCACCCACTCACTCACTCGCTCACTCACTCGCTCACCCACTCACTCACTCACCCACTCACTCACTAACCCACTCACTCACCCGCTCACTCACTCGCTCACTCACTCGCTCACTCACTCGCTCACCCACTCACTCACTCACTCACCCACTCACTCACCCACCCACTCACTCACTCTCTCCCCGTGTCTCTCTCCCCGTGTCTCTCTCCCCATGTCTCTCTCTCCCCGTGTCTCTCTCCCCGTGTCTCTCTCCCCGTGTCTCTCTCCCCGTGTCTCTCGCTCCCCGTGTCTCTCTCCCCATGTCTCTCTCTCCCTGTGTCTCTCTCCCCGTGTCTCTCTCCCCGTGTCTCTCTCCCCGTGTCTCTCTCCCCATGTCTCTCTCTCCCCGTGTGTCTCTCTCCCCGTGTCTCTCTCCCCGTGTCTCTCTCCCCGTGTCTCTCTCCCCGTGTGTCTCTCCCTGTCTCTCTCCCCCTGTCTCTCTACCCGTGTCTCTCTACCCGTGTGTCTCTCTCCCTGTGTCTCTCTCCCTGTGTCTCTTTCCCCGTGTCTCTCTCCCCGTGTCTCTCTCTCCCCGTGTCTCTCTCCCCGTGTCTCTCTCCCCGTGTCTCTCTCTCCCCGTGTCTCTCTCTCCCCGTGTGTCTCTCCCCGTGTCTCTCTCCCCGTGTCTCTCTGTCTCTCTCCCCGTGTCTCACCGTCTCTCCCAGTGTCTCTCTCTCCCCGTGTGTCTCTCTCCCCAGTGTCTCTCTCTCCCGTGTCTCTCCCCGTGTCTCTCTCTCTCCCCGTGTCTCTCTCTCCCCGTGTCTCTCTCCCAGTGTCTCTCTCTCCCCGTGTGTCTCTCTCCCCGTGTCTCTCTCTCTCCGTGTGTCTCTCTCCCCGTGTCTCTCTCTCTCCCCGTGTCTCTCTCCCCGTGTCTCTCTCTCTCCCCGTGTCTCTCTCTCTCCCCGTGTCTCTCTCCCCGTGTCTCTCTCTCTCCCCGTGTCTCTCTCTCCCCGTGTCTCTCTCCCTGTGTCTCTCTCCCCGTGTCTCTCTCTCCCTGTGTCTCTCTCCCCGTGTCTCTCTCTCTCCCTGTGTCTCTCTCCCCATCTCTCTCTCCCCGTGTCTCTCTCCCCCTGTCTCTCTCCCCGTGTCTCTCTGTCTCTCTGTCTCTCTCCCCATGTGTCTCACCGTCTCTCTCCCCCTGTCTCTCTCCCCCTGTCTCTCTCTCCCCGTGTCTCTCTCCCCGTGTGTCTCTCTCCCTGTGTCTCTCTCACCGTGTCTCTCTCCCCGTGTGTCTCCCCGTCTCTCTCTCCCCGTGTCTCTCTCCCCGTGTCTCTCCCCGTGTCTCTCTCCCCGTGTCTCTCTCCCCGTGTGTCTCTCTGTCTCTCTCCCCGTGTGTCTCTCTCTCCCCGTGTCTCTCTGTCTCTCTCCCCGTGTGTCTCTCTGTGTCTCACCGTCTCTCTCCCCCTGTCTCTCCCCCCGTCTCTCGCTATCCCCGTGTGTCTCTCTCCCTGTGTCTCTCTCCCTGTGTCTCTCTCCCTCTGTCTCTCTCTCCCTGTGTGTCTCACCGTCTCTCTCCCCCTGTGTCTCTCTCCCCGTGTCTCTCTGTCTCTCTCCCCGTGTATCTCTCCCCGTGTGTCTCTCTGTCTCTCTCTCCCTGTGTCTCTCTCCCTGTGTCTCTCTCCCTCTGTCTCTCTCTCCCCGTGTGTCTCACCGTCTCTCTCCCCCGTGTCTCTCTCCCCGTGTCTCTCTGTCTCTCTCCCCGTGTATCTCTCCCCGTGTGTCTCTCTGTCTCTCTCCCCGTGTCTCTCTCCCCGTGTCTCTCTCCCCGTGTCTCTCTCTCCCCGTGTCTCTGTGTCCCAGTGATGATCGGAAGGACGGATTGAAGTTCTACACCGACCCTTCATATTTCTTCGACCTCTGGAGAGAGAAAATGTTGCAGGACACGGAGGATAAACGCAAAGAAAAGAGACGTCAGAGGGTGAGTGGGTGGGTGGGTTAGTGGGTGGGTGGGTTAGTGGGTGGGTGGGTTAGTGGGTGGGTGGGTTAGTGGGTGGGTGGGTTAGTGGGTGGGTGGGTTAGTGGGTGGGTGGGTTAGTGGGTGAGTGAGTGAGTGGGTGGGTGAGTGGTTGGGTGTGTGGGTGGGTGAGTGAGTGAGTGGGTGGGTGGGTGGGTGAGTGAGTGAGTGGGTGGGTTAGTGGGTGGGTGGGTTAGTGGGTGGGTGGGTGAGTGGGTGGGTGGGTAGGTGGGTTAGTGGGTGGGTGAGTGAGTGGGTGAGAGAGTGGGTTAGTGGGTGGGTGAGTGAGTGTGTGGGCGAGTGGGTGAGTGGGTGGGTGAGTGAGTGAGTGGGTGGGTGAGTGAGTGAGTGAGTGGTTGGGTGGGTGGGTGGGTGAGTGGTTGGGTGGGTGGGTGGGTGAGTGGGTGGGTGGGTGGGTTAGTGGGTGGGTGAGTGGGTGAGTGGGTGGGTGGGTTAGTGGGTGGTTGGGTGAGTGGGTGGGTGGGTGAGTGAGTGAGTGGGTGGGTGAGTGGGTGAGTGGGTGAATGGGTGAGTGAGTGAGTGAGTGGGTGGGTGAGTGAGTGAGTGAGTGGGTGGATGGGTGAGTGAGTGAGTGAGTGGGTGGATGGATGGGAGGGTGAGTGAGTCAGTGGGTGGATGGGTGAGTGAGTGAGTGAGTGGGTGGATGGGTGAGTGGGTGAGTGGATGGGTGAGTGAGTGAGTGGGTGGGTGGATGGGTGAGTGAGTGGGTGGTTGGGTGGGTGGGTGGGTGAGTGAGTGAGTGGGTGGGTGGGTGGGTGGTTGGGTGGGTGGGTGAGTGGGTGAGTGGGTGAGTGGGTGGGTGAGTCTCCCTCTCTGCCTCTCTGTCTTTCTCCCCCCACTCTCCATGTCTCTCTCTGCATCTCCCTGGCTGTGTGTGTGTCTGTGTGTGTGTCTGTGTGTGGTTGTGTATGTGTGTCTGTGTGTGTGTCTGTGTGTGTGTGTCTGTGTGTGTGTGTTTCTGTGTGTGTTTCTGTGTGTGTCTGTGTGTCTGTGTGTGTGTGTGCTATGTGTGTCTGTGTGTGTCTGTGTGTCTGTGTGTGCTATGTATGTGTGTCTATATGTGCTGTGTCTGTGTGTGACACTGTGTGTGTGTGTGTCTGTGTGTGTGTCTTTGTGTGCTATGTGTCTGTGTGTCTTTCACTGTCTGTGTGTCACTGTGTGTGTGTCTGTGTGTGTCTGTGTGTGTGTGTGTGTCTATGTGTGTGTGTGTCTGTGTGTCTGTGTGTCTGTGTGTGTGTCTGTGTGTGTGTCTATGTGTGTGTCTATGTGTGCTATGTGTGTGTGTCTATGTGTGTCTGTGTGTGTGTCTATGTGTGCTATGTGTGTGTGTCTATGTGTGTCTGTGTGTGTGTCTGTGTGTGTCTATGTGTGTGCTATGTGTGTCTGTGTGTGTGTGCTATGTGTGTGTGTCTGTATGTCTGTGTGTGTGTGTGTCTGTGTGTGTGCTATGTGTCTGTGTGTGTGTCTATGTGTCTGTGTGTGTGTCTGTCTGTGTGTCTGTGTGTGTGTGCTATGTGTGCGTGTGCTATGTGTGTGCTCTGTGTCACTGTGTGTGTGTGTGTCTATGTGTGTGTCTGTGTGTGTGTGTGTGTATCTGTGTGTGTGTGTGCTATGTGTGTGTCACTGTGTGTGTGTCACTGTGTCTGTGTGTGTGTCTGTGTGTCTATGTGTCTATGTCTGTGTGTCTGTGTGTCTCTGTGTGTGTGTGTGTGCTATGTGTGTGTCTGTGTGTGTGTCTGTGTGTGTGCTATGTGTGTGTGGCTCTGTGTGTGTGCTATGTGTGTGTGTCTGTGTCTGTTTGTGTGTCTGTGTGTGTGTGTCTGTGTGTGTCTGTGTGTGTGTCTCTGTGTCTGTGTGTGTGTCTCTGTGTCTGTGTGCTATGTGTGTGTGTGTGTGTCTCTGTGTGTGTGTCTCTGTGTCTCTGTGTGTGTGTGTGTCTGTGTGTGTGTCTCTGTGTCTCTGTGTGTGTGTGTCTATGTGTGTGTGTCTGTGTGTGTGTGTCTCTGTGTGTGTGTCTCTGTGTCTGTGTGCTACGTGTCTATGTGCTATGTCTCTGTGTGTGTGCTACGTGTCTCTGTGTGTGTGTCTCTGTGTCTATGTGCTATGTCTATGTGTGTGTCTGTGTGTGTGTGTCACTGTGTGTGTGTGTGTGCTATGTGTGTCTCTGTGTGTATCTCTGTGTCTATGTCTCTGTGTCTGTGTGTGCTATGTGTGTGTGTCTGTGTGCTACGTGTCTATGTGCTACGTGTCTATGTGTGTGTGTCTCTGTGTCTATGTCTCTGTGTGTGTGTCTGTGTGTGTGTCTGTGTCTGTGTGTGTCTGTGTGTGTGTCTATGTGCTATGTCTCTGTGTGTGTGTGTCTCTGTGTGTGTCTGTGTGTGTCTGTGTGTGTGTCTGTGTGTGTGTCTGTGTGCTACGTGTCTATGTGTCTATGTGTGTGTGTGTCTACGTGTGTGTGTGTCTCTGTGTGTGTCTGTGTGTGTGTCTCTGAGCGATAGTGTAGCGGTTAGCGCTACGCTGCGCTATGAACCTGGCGACCCGGGTTCGATTCCCGCTCACAGCCAACACCAGTGACAATTATCTGAACCGGTCCCGGGCCTCCCCTAGGTCGACTCAGCCTCAAAATGAGTACCTGGTGCGGTGTGTGAACATCGCCACTGGGGAGACAAAGGCGGTCAGGCGTGGTGCTGGCCACCCACCCCCTCGTGTACCGTTCCGGCCTTCATAGGTGCTCGCTAACAGCACTTGCCCCTACAGTCTGTTAAGGCTATACGGGGGATCTTTGTCTTTATCTTTGTCTGTGTGTGCTATGTGTGCTATGTCTGTGTGTG